CTTTGTCAACAAAGCTTGATTTTTCTGACAGCATGCTCACTTTTGATCTGCCTGAATAGGCTTTGCATAGAACTTATCCAGTTACCACAAAAGTTCTCCTTTAGAAGTATAGGCTGGTCAGATTACTGGCACAACCTTCCTTTGTATAATGTACACAAAGACATCGCCCAAGGCTGAAACCCTGAATAATTTAGTCACCTCTATAGTTTTGTCAGACTGGGTAGTGCACATGATGACGAGGAAACTGACGTGACAAGAAAAAACAATGAATGGAAACATTCTGTGGCATTCAGAATATGCTGTAAATGCGTCGGTGTTATCAAAGGGCTTCATTGGGACATGCCCTGCTTTTCTTGAATGAGTGAAAACGATAGACGACACCAGCACAAAGCATACTACCAAGAAACAGGATTCAGGAGCCTGTACACGCTTCCCCTTCACGCACCGTTAAACCCAGAACTCTTGTTAATATCAAGGAAGTCAAACATTCTCAAGCCTTTAGACAGACTTTGAAACAGCTGTGATTTATAACCGTCTTGGTGTTTACTATCTATTCTATTCATAGAAGCAGCAGGGGTAGGGTAAGTGCTGCACTTTTAGCAGCACAGAGGGGTCACTGACGTCAGACCAGATGTCGACATCGATTCAGCTTAAAAACTTGAGAAACGTGATTTTTTTTTGTTGCACAAACATGTCTTCAAGGCAGAAGTTGTGAGACACTGAAATGTCACAGGATTCAGGTCAGAATCTCACAAAAAGTAAGGACAAAGTAAATAAAGTATCTTTCTCAGTGTCAGGTTATCCTGCTGCAATTTGAAGTATATAAAGAAAATACTTTCTTATTGCATTTCTTTAAATCTGAACACAATTCTTTTATTTTTCCAGAGTTTACATTATTAGTACCTGTTAAACAAGAACGCAATAAATGGCAACTCCCACAGCTGCGCTGTCATCCTGGAAATGATTACTGCAAGGGTTCAATTGTGAATGACGGAAAACAAATCACCTTTGTGGCAAAGATCCAGGGAAGCAGTGGATTATTTAATTTAAGCAAAGTGTAATCTCTGATATGTAAATGAAGTAACAGGAGTATTGCTGCTGTCCTCAAATCAAGCAGCCCCCATAAAAGAAAAAAGAATGGATATAACAATCAAAACTGTTATTTCTCCAAAATACAGGCACTCAAAGTCGGTTTGGAGGAATAATAAAGCTGCTTTATTTTAATTCACTCGTACGTGTCTTTCTATGCTGTTAACCATGAAATGAAAATGACACAGTGGTTTCATGAGGTGTTGTAGATGATTAAATTAAAGGGTCATTTTAGCACATTGTTAGGTGGTTGCTAGGCAACATGACAACATTATAATTATGTTTAATTCAGCCTTTGTGGATATAAATGAAAAGTTATTGTCATGACATTAGGATGCTTTTGCGAGGCGTCACAGGTCATAAAAGCCAATTGCTAGATGGTTGCTAAGTAACATGGTGACATATCTGACACAGAAATCTCCAGCAGACTAAAATGTACCTGTGTGTAAAGTTTGGCTGCTCATTTGCCAACGAGCAGGTGGCCTTTTATTACTTTTCCCAATCCTACCTGGGATCTCGGATCCATTTTGCTTTTTTAACCGTATTATTTGCTGTGTGTTCTTCCCTTCCCAAATCCTCTGTATTCTCCCAAATCCAATCATTACCTTATATAGTCTAAAAAACATAGCAAAGAAAAAAACTAAACTAACACCATAATGTTAAGTTACACAGCTCTTAATGAAAGAAATGCAAGTTGAAAATCTGTTTTCGTCATGTCGTGTGCGTAATTCAAGGTCACAGGAAATTAAAATAGCCAGGCCTTTAAGGGCTGGATTCAAAGTCACACCAAAAATTAAATATTCTTCAAGTGTTCCCTTAACTTTAACTATAACTTCAGGGGGGGGGGTCTAGGGCAGCGGTCCCCAACCCCCGGGCTGTGAGTTGTTTGGTACCGGGCAGCGAGAGTTAAGGCTCGGGTGAGAAATCTATGGTTTTCAGGTTTTTCCTTAACTCAGTTTCCTGGGTCTTTTCCCGTGTTGTAGTTGTGTTTCTTGTTTCTTATTTTGAAAGAAATATTTACACGTTACCATAGCAACCAGAGAGCATTAAGGGGCAGAGAGACGGATGTTACTCTCATTTCAGGACGACGCTGCTAATAAAGTTACAATTACACAGTGACTTCGCGTTTATTATTATTATTATATTTAGAAAACACCACAGTTTGTCTCTTGGTCGTATCATTTTATTTTGTTGTATTTATCCACTACGGTCCATGAAAACATTGTCTGACATTAAACTGGTCCGTGGGCGTCGACTCTAACTTGTAGTGGAACTAAAAATGTCACGTCCGTCCTCAAGTAAGACGTGCAGCACAAGTTATGGAGAAAGCAAACATGCACGGCGACCGTCAGTGTCCTATCAGGGCGATGTGGTCATCTGACTTGAATGTCTCCCCAGTGCAAGAGTGATGTGCAAGTCTGACAGCAGGGCCAAAAGAAAGATCTGCAGGTCACCAAGAATTTGGGGATTCAACCTCTGGAGTATAAATGAAACTCTGGTGACCATTCAGCGGGCGAGATTTCCCCCAACACTTCTTTTCCCACTGGGAATCCTTTTTCATTGGCTACTCCAGCATTTCCTCTTTCCCGCACTGCCAAAATTATTTTCATTAATTTCTGACATCAGATATCCTTCTAACGACTTTCCTCAGTGTCCTTCAGTCCCGCTTCAGTCTGTCTGTCACACCTGATCAACAACTTGTCCCTAATGATTTTTCCATGTATTAACTTTAAGAGTTCATCTTCTCTCTGCTGGCTCTACTCCAACAGTGTATAGACTCCAGAGGATTTTACCCAACTCCAGTCTTCATTTTAAATGCATAACCTCCTGGTTTGCTTTCAGAACTCTGAAACAAGGAACTTCTGAGTACAAGGAAAACCACTGAGGCAGCATCTTGGCTGACCCTAAGTTAAGGAAACAAAATAGGCAGCGTAATTGGATAAAACCAACTGAACTCTGAAATAAAAAATACTTAATGAGCTGTGTTTCATCTGAAAAACTATATAAATGGTAAATGGATGAGATCGGGCGTGCTCAGGGCTTGTTAGATTGTCCACCCACTTTTACTTCTTCTTTAAAAAAATAAAATAATAATAAAAAAAATAAAATTTAATTCCCTGTACTTATGACCTGTAAGTAAGAATTTGTACTGTTCTTTTTTTCTTTTTTCTTTAAATATAGCTTGTTTTCTATTCTACTTGGGCACCCAAAGCATTTTATACAGCATGGCTCATTAACCTATTCACACACACACAATTTATTTTCTGCACCTAAGTGCTTTCTATCCAACTTTCACACACTAACATTTATAGTGGGTGGATGAGACTGACGAACACAGAGTGGGATGCATGCACTATGGTGTGGATGTCAAGGATACTTTGGCATGCAGATCAAATCACCAACCCTCTGATTAGTAGAAGACACGCACTTCCTTCTGTGCTTCAGCCATCCCCCTAAAGACATTTCTTTCTATTCCTCTAAATTAAAAGGAATACAAGTTCAGCAATTTACAGTCAGAATGTTTCCTGCTTAAAATGTCAAGTATCAGACCCAAAACTCAGAAAAAAGCAGGACTTACTTGGACTTCCCAGCAGGACATTTAAGGACTCGGCCCATTTTTCCAGCTCATCTCGATTATAATTCCTCTTCCTACTGTGACCCACTTGACTCCACTGATGCATGAATACAAGGCGAGACCTTCTCTCTTTACCACTACGATACAGGACAAGATGGTAACAGAGACTCAAGGCGTGTCAGAGGAGATGGTAGCAAAGATTACGCTGTCATTGAAATAAACATCAAACCTTCACATTCTTAGAACATTAAGATAAGTACCGACTCACTTTCAGAATCAGAGAGACCCTGCAAGTGAGTCTAAGCTAAAAAAGTAAATTTGAAAATAAAATAAAAATAAACCATGTTCTCACCTGTCTTTTTGCTCTGTGTTGGCCAGGTTGGAGTTTGACGAATGAGGACTCTGAAACAGGAACCACACAGTAAACTGAAGTTAACCTTTTTCATCATTTGTTGAAAGTTGTTCCAGACCTCAGCAGCTTTAAACAGCTCGACTGAACAACAGTGACTGTTTAGAGTCCGTAAACAGAAAAAGACTGAAGCTAAAACATATCTGATGCACACAAAACAGTTTTGTCTTATTTTCAATTCTTTAGTCATTTCACACTAAAGCAGCCTGTGTGGTTTGGATTAAAATATCTCAAAATAAAATATATATTGTTGCACTACTCAATATCCTGCTTCCAGTCAACACTAATTATTACAGTAGACCTTTCTTTTTTCCAAGAAGTCTACTTAAGGCAGACCCAATTAAAGGTATCATTTCAGTTTTATTTATGCAGCACCAAATCACCAAACAGTCGCCTCAAGGTGCTTAATATATTGTTTATTTGCAGTAACTCATAGAAAAACCCAGCAATCAAATGACACCCTTTGAGCACAGCCGTGTACTTCTACTATAATCTCCACTTGTCTGTTAACAGATAGCTTCTAGTGTCAGGAAAGTTCCAGCACTGCAGTAGCAAATTATGCATTTTAATTAAAAGAAAATTAGTGATGCCTGACAAATTGAGTGTTTCTGTATTTGTTTCATTGAGTTTACAGTTCAGCTATTCAAATTCAGTTTTATCTACCTTCATGTACAAACAGAAAACCCCATGAGTGAAAAACTGGACCCATGTGGGTTGTTTTTAATGCAAATTCATAAAGAATGAAGAGCAGCATTGAGCACGAGGGCAGTAAGTAAACTAAATAGACAATAGATGTCCAGAAGCTGTTCCATTTGAACAGTTGAGCCATGATCATAATGATGCCAAACAGAATGGAGAGACTACGTGCATGTGACCACAGCCATCTACTGCACCAGCTTACACAGATCCTGCAGCAGATTGGGAATTTGGGACACTCATTAGAGACAGTCTCGATTATTTTCCAAGACTTTTATTTCCTCGTACTTTTCTATCATACTGAATTTATGGGAAAAAGGGAATTACAGACAACAGCTGTACTATTCAGCTGCTATTGCCATGTTTCTGCTGACAATGTAAACAACTTGCTGTTTGCTAACATTTCAGTGTGTACATTGTGATATTTCTGAACACCACAGCTGCTTATTTGAAATGTATAACTCTCTAAAGTGACAGTTTGACTTAAGCCATCCTGTCACTTATAAGCCTCTCCAAGTGAGAAACAGGCTCAAAGTTACTAAAGTGTTTAAACCTTGTAAGGCATTGTGCACGTCCCCTCGTGGCACCCGAACATTACATCTGGCACCAGGACACGTGAAAAGGATCACTTGTGTTCTGTAGGCTGGAAAACGCTGCAATTAGCTGTAGTTAGACTGGGATATGAGGAGTTTAGAGGATGGGTAAATGTACAGTTTGGGGGTTTTGAAGGTGGCCGTGCTTTTCTTCCTCTAAAAGTCTACAACAACATTTAGAGGGTGTAATCTGTTAAAGTACCAGCTGCACGAAAACACAGCATAGAGACAAAATAGAAATGTCATTTACTGCACCTGTGTGAAAAGACTCTTGAGGTGCAGCTTAGCAGCTGTCAGTCTGTCTCTCTGTTGGTGTCTGTGCTCCATCTTAAAGGAGCTGGAAGAGGACGAAGGCGACGATGGAGGCAGATCGGCTTTCTCCATGCTCTCAGTGCTGCCCTGCACAGCTGGGGCCAGCTGACTGTCACTATAAGCCCTGCTGCCTTGACTGATGAGACAGCCTCTGAGCTGGCTCTTCTCCAGTTTACTCAGCTCGCACAGGTTCTCTGCACTCACGCTGTGCTCCCGAGTCAGCTCATTCTTCGTCATCTCACCCGGACTCTCCGTGGGCTCCTGGATGATGGGAGTCAGGCGACCTGATTTCCCAGCCAGCTCATCATCCTGCAAGTGAAGTGTGCAGGTGCCAGACTCGTGGTCTTGTCCAGAATTCTTCAGTGCCACTTTTTTCCATGTCGGGAAGTCAAGATCAAGCAGGGAACCCTCAGAGCTGAATCTACGCATCGCAGCTGTATTAGAAGTGATGAAGAATGGAAAAGGGGGTACTGCAAAAAAGATTGGAAGAAATAAAGCAGTAAAAGCTAGAAATAAGTAAAAAGGGGCACAAAGGGATCAGACCAGAAATGAAGCACAGAAATATGCGGGGGAAGAGTAGGGTTGGGGAAAAGGTGATAAAATTGGACAATTAGAAAAAAAAAAGGCTCACACAGGCAACTCTCCTTATTTCTACTATGAATGGCTGTCTGACACCAGGACACTGGGAGAGGAACCTTCTGGCTCTACTGCTTAAATGTAGGGTCCTCTGGGCACTGGCCATGTTTCAGGCCACTGCATAATTAGCCAATTAGATTGGGAATCTGAGGAGTTCGGAAGACAAGACAAACTGTTTCTCTGGGAAACATAGTTGAGGTCCATTTAGCAGAGACAGACTTCCCTCATCAAAATGTATCAATGCTCTTCATAAAATATTCACATCTAGTAAATATTAATTCAAAAGGTTTAGGGATTTAGAGGCATAAATAATGCCTATAGGCTGGAGAACAAGAAAACCCAAAGAGTAATTTCATTTTTATTTCCTTCTCACAAATCTGGAACTATTATAAAAGTCTGACACTGGTGCCGTAGCTGAAATGTAGTCTCAGGAGTCTCGCTTCAATTTAAAGGAAGTTTTCTTATCCTAATACTTTTAATGTTTAACTACTCTTTGGTCTATTCTGCACAACCGCAAATAAAGCAAGTCAAGTGTTTCTGACCATTCAAAGTATAACCAGGCGGTATAGAAGTCATATAAAAACAGTCTTATACACATGTACCGCAGACAAACTCACATTTGTCAATAATTAATTTCCACATTTCTGACTTGGCAACATTTCCTAGAACTGAGGTTTGGTCTTTTTCCAGTTCAAATTGTCCATGAATATTAACTTAACGAACTTTTTATCTTCCACTGCAATGCTGCTATTGTACCGTTTCATTCTGAGACGTAATGCCATGCAGCTTCCCAGACCTTTGCTCAGCACAGCTCTGGGAGAAACGACAGCTGATTGATATTTGAAATCGTTAGGAGTGCCGGGGCTCTGTCAGTGTACTTACCTCTTCCTCGAGAATCTTAAGCTCTCTCCATGGCCAAAAGCAAAAATCCTCCGGATCTCAAGGGGGAAATGTCCATGAACTGACGAGTCCGGCTTTAAGCTTTGCAGATTTCAGGTGTCCGGGAGAACGCGAAATCAACTTCCGACGTTCCTGCTGCGACAGCCCTCCCAGATCTGTTCTTGACTCAGATCCTTCTGCAACACAGTCAAGTGCTCACCGACAGAAAAGTCTTGCCGAGAGCACAACAAGTTCCATAAAGTTTTCTTACACGACACAGTGCGTGCTCCTCCTCACGGCTGCCACACCTTCAGTCCTGCCTCAACTTGTCCGTCACACTTTATCAGAGGAGGGAGCTGCCGAGGTGCAGCTGAGACAAGTCAGCCAAATGTCATCTCAAACAACTTTGCTAAGGAAGAGCGTTTGAAAAGGTTAAGACGCTGAAAATGATCCGTAGAAGCCTCCGGGATTCTGTATGTTACGCCACGCGGCGTAAACCTCTGTTTCAAATAAACAAACCGCATTTTAAAAAACAAACAAACAAAAAAACGGGCGATTCAAACGCATCTGTGTCAAGTAACAACGAAAGGATCTGGCTCAGTGAAAGGACCAAGTAAGAAGAAACCCTGTTGTTATTAAATTATATGATTTCTTTCGCACTTTAATTAAGCTCCAATCACGCGGTCAGAAGAAGAAAGGCGGACCATACGTCCATCATTGGATTTGCATTGCTATAAAATGATTTGGCCAGAATGACGCAAATATCTAAACAATCACGATGACCTGCTCAAGCTCAAACCGAGCATCTGACTCTGGCATGGCTGTTGGTACAGTGCGTTACAGAGACTGCTGATGTGTTAGGACTTTCTAAACAATGGTTTACAGGGAATGGTCTGAACATAAACTATCCAGTGAGCAGCAGGTCTCTGGGGGAATAGCCGGGGATACTGGAGGCTGAGGTCAGAGGAGAATGGCCGCTTCCAGCTGCCAGAATGTTTTCTTCCTCCAAGACAGACAAAATCCGCACGAATTAATCTGTGAGGCGCTACATAGCTTTTACTTTGAAAGGACTACGGAAATTCCTAGAAAGTTTTACCTCGTGTTGCGTTTAGCGGGTGGCTGACGCGGGAGTTTTGTGAAATGATAATTGGTTGGTTCAGGTATGTGAGAAGTCGTATCTCTTGTAGTTTTTAGCTTCAAGTGAAGGAATAATTCTGTATTTTGCTATCTTGTTTTAAACACACAAAGACAACACTCATCTGCCTTTTATTTCTATATGCACAGTTGTTCCAGCGAAAGAGGAAAGCGGTACAAAATAAAGACATTGATTTCTGATTTTTGATTGTTGGAATTTCTTTACAAAAGTAACCTTTTTTTTAATTGGCCATTTTATTGTGGTCACAGATACTAGACAGATTTAGCCTATTGGTAAATAGATGTAGTCAACAGGATTTATGAAGAGAATATATAAAATAATGAAACTTGTTTATGACTCCCTGTTATTAAACCTATGTTACAATCAACAGTGGTAATATTTGCTGCTAATTCTGCTGCCCTCTTGGCCATAAGTAAAGGATATATAAAAGTCACTTTGCCAAAAACTGATTGTGGCTTCTAGTGACAGGAGTGTTCTCTCTGTAATGACTTCATATCATTCATGAGACGTGTTTGACATGTCTGACACATTATTGGCCAACAGTTTAAATACGGACAATCATTTTTTTCTCCCTAAGTAAGGAATTAAGATATTCAGTATTAATATATCCAGTTCAGCTGGCTGAAATAAAGTTGTGCTCTAATTTAACATGGGGGGCATTTTACAGGCACTCCTTAAAGTATAGTAACTCTGTTACAGTTTGTGCTAGAGGCAAAATCCACACAGTTCTGAAAAGAAGAGAAGACAAGCTTTATGAGGCTATTTGGTTTGTCATGGTAGTTGTGCTATCATGTCCTGTATTGTTAGGACAATACACGTTGTGTGTATCTAAATCCAAACGACTGTATCAGCCCTTTGTTCCTCGGTCAAATAGGCCTATGACCCTGAGGCACTAGAGGAGCACCCGGACATGTGGCACGAGACAACTCAACCTGATATTGTGACATGATGTATAAATGGCAGGCCACTTTTTAAAACTTCATTTTGCATGTAATACTTTTCCTGTGGCATCTAATGCCATTTAGTCCCTGTAAGGGGGATAGATGTGGTGGAGGAAGGAATTATCTTCACCCAACGTGCAGTTTATTTACAAAAAAATACTGACAGCCAGGCAGGTGGTATGAACAGCCAAAAAGAAATGTGTACAAACAAACTTCAAACCGTTGACTAAACAAAATTCTAAAGAATCGGCCCATGACTATTGGACTACTAGCCAGCCTTTACAGCACTAACCTGAACTCCACCCTCAGAAGAATTAACTCAGGCTAATAAAGGTGCCTGCCCCTGCCCCAGAACAAACCATGAGCCAGTGGGCTCATGTATTCATACTATAAAGTAATTACTTTAGAGGCAGGAATGTTGGTTACATTATACTATAATAAATATGGTTTATAAATACAGTGGAAATGTCCATAAGTGTTATTTTGCCTGCTGTTATCTCCTTAGCCAGTATAAAGCTTGATTAATAACAATGGTGGAATTTGAGCAGAGAATAAACAGCTGGATCCACAAAGTATGCACAAGGGAACTAAAACAGACACTCTGGCCAAGAATGAGGGGAGAAACCCCCTGAGGGTGTCCATATTGTTGCTGGGGACTTTAATAAGACATGTTTGAAATCTGTACTCCCCAAATTCCACTAACATGTTAAGTGTCCTAGCAAGGGGGAACTGGACACTGGAACATGTATATACAGTAACATCAAGCAGAAAACAACACCCCTCCCCCACCATCGATAATCCGACCACCAGACTGTTTTGAACTGACAGACTGTTCTATCTTTGAACAGCAAGATCTGGAGACCTTCACTCAGTATGTTCTTTTCTACATTAAGTGTTGTCCAGAGAATGTGACAGTGACCAAAGCCATTCCAGGTTTTTCCTAAGCAGAAACCTTGGATGACGAGTGAAGTAGAGGCTCTGATCAGAACTGATAACTCAGCTTTCAGGCTGAGGGACAATTTTAGGTACAGCACTGCCAGAGCTAACTTGAGGAGGCGCATCAAATAAGCCAAAGACACTTACAGGAGATGGGTAGAGGGCTTCATCACTAACACCAACCCTCATCGGGTGTTCAAGCAGTGGCTGCCCTTCCTCCGTGTCCTAAGGAAGAATAAGTTGGACCAGAAGCAGCTGCTGCCTTCTACCGCTCCTCAGTGGAGGGCATGCTCTCCTACTCCCTGGGTGTATTCTACACAGGGGCCACAACTGAGAACAGGAAGGCTGCACAGAGGGTAATTAGCACTCCTTTCTTTGCAGTTCCCTCACCATTTCAGCTGTAATTTCCCAGTCATCTAGTAACTCTTTGTTGACTCCTCCTCCTGGAATACAGGGAAGAAAACTGGAATACAGGGGGGGTCATCAATGACTTTGCCAGCTGGTGTGAACAGAACCATCTTCGCATCAACGCCAGAAGATGAAGGAGCTGGTGACTGACTTCAGCAAGAAGTTACCCCCTATTACTCCAGTGAACATCCAGGAAACAGTGGAGGAGTGCAAATACCTGGGTGTTCACCTCAATAACAAACTGGATTGGTACACAAATACAAATACCCTTTACTAAAAGCGGCTAAGGCGTCTTCACCTGCTACGGCGGCTGAGATCCTTTGAGGTGAACAGGACTCTTCTAAGGACGTTTTACGACACTGTGGCGGCATCTGCTATCTTTTCTGCTGCTGGAGCAGTGGAATAGTAGAGGGACGGGGGAAACTTACGGTAACAAACTGGTCAGGAGGGCCAGCTCTGTCCTGGACTGTCCGTTGAAGTCCATCGAGCAGGTTGGGGAGGAGAAGATGTTGTCTAAGCTAACATCCATCATGGAGGTCACCTCCCACCCCCTGCATGAGACTGTACAAGCACTGAGCAGCTCGTTCAGCAGTGGACTTTTACACCCACAGTGTAGGAAGGAGCGCTACCGCAGGTCATTCTTACAGCAGCTGTCAGAGTCTATTTTACAGTTTAACATGATCATCTTATTCATCACCGGTTTAATTGACATGTCAAATGTTTTTTAATTGATGCTACTCATTTGCCGCTTGTTTGTACGCTGTATACTGCACCAGGATCATGCGCTTTACATGATTTCTTTAGAATTATCAAAGTAGTCTGATTCTGATTCTGATTTAAAAAAAAACACCAGTGCAGCACGTTCATGGATAGAGCCTGGTTAGTTTAAAGTTTCACTGCTGTTTACGTACACTGCCACAACCTTGGTCAGTTCAGCATGCGAACTGGAAAGTGATTTCATGTAGAATCCACCAATAGTCCTTACATTTCTAGCATAGTCCTTACTCTCACCGCGTAACCTCTGGCTTTCCTTCTTGCAGTCTCCGAACATTTCCCTCTTCCTTTTCTCTTCCTTTGTTCTTAGCCAGTAGTTTTCACCATCACCAGCAACACAGAGGTGGTTGTTCCCAACACTGTTGACGTCATCTGACACCTATTCCTGCCATAGACTCTTTGCCACTATGCCTACGAGATTTGCCAGAAAGAGCTACAGAACCCTGTGTACCCATATAACTAATCTAAAGTTAACCAGTTTACCACACACCCATCACACTACTGTAGCTCACGGCCCAACCTGCCATTTAAGAGTGTAATGGAAACACATATGATTACATGTTTCCATTCGGACAGTGAAAGGACAGGAAATGTACACAGGCACATTCACGGGACCATAATGAAGCTTGATAAGTTGGCCTGATCAGAGAAGGGAGGGGAGTGGATTTCACCGGTGATGGGAGAACTACGAAAGAAATATCAAAGATTTAAAAAATACAGAATGAAAAGCAAATACAGTGTCTACAGTGGACACTTTTTAATATTTTTAACACTGTTTCAATTCAGCTCTTTGAATCTTATAACTTTGCTCTCCTCTGTGGCTCATGGTGGACCAACAATAACACAAGCAAGACCACAGACCAGTTGTACCACATACTTTGTGTACTACAAGGTGACAACAGAGCTGTCTGTAGGTAGACCAGTCATTCCTGGACTGACAGTGGACTATGAACTTGCGACCTCTACTGAACCATAAAGTTCAACCATACAGCATTTGGTTGTGGCATACACCATCTGCTTCCAGTAACGCACAGTTGAGATTCTTTGGATTCTGTGATTGGTGAAACCTCCCTCTATTCGGTGTCCAAATGGAAATGTGTACACAGACAAATCAATTTGCGAGACCAAAAATTAAACTTTAATAGAACACCAGTTAAGCAGATGCATGATCCAGAAGAGCAAATTTTGATTTTTTGTGCTCACTATTGCTGTTGATAATTACTGATTAGTAATCATTCATACACATACTATAAACCTGTTTTTCTATCCTATAATTATGATTACAATTATAAAACTAGATGTGAGGACTTTTTGTAGTTGTCAGGCTGTAATGCACAGTGATAAAGGTCTTAGCAACAGACAACAGTTTTTCAAATTGGGAGATTAATCTTTCAAAGTCCCCCTACTGGCCACACAGAGAAGCGTAAAATACATCAAACCTCAGAGAGCTGCACAGCTGAAGCAGTGTTGTTTACATAATTGAATTGACAGCCTGGCTTGTTTTTATCCAGTTATGATATGTAATCTGAAATGGTAGTAAATTCCGCTACAAGTGTGGCCGGGGGTTGATTTGAATGTTTTATTCAAGTGTTATAGTACTAACTGTAGATGGGATACAGTATGGGATACTGAACGTTATAGGCCCACTAAAAGTAATGAAATAAAGCAAGATAAAAATGATTTTACTGTAAACACATCAACTGCTTTATTATTTTTGGTTTTAAATAAACTTTTTGAAGTGTAACAACAAAGTAATGCAAAAACTGT